GCCTCTATACCTCATGATCATGGTGCCAAAGATGCTGACATTTGATAATACACAAATGTACTCACTGCTCACTCAATTTCTGTGAACAGCAGCTCGGTTTAATGCTCCATATTCCTCACTTTTTGGTAAACAGTGAAAAACACATATTTATTTTTCCACCAAAAGTTCACCTGAAAGCTCAACCTGGAAAGCTGAAGAAATACCAGGAAGAAAGGAAACAGTTTGCTGCCAATGAGAAACACCTCCCACACTACATTGCCTGGTAATACCCACATGCCTTCCAACCACCATCCTCACTATAATCTCTAATACAGTTTCAACCACTTCATCTCTGATTCAGGGACCCCCACATCGGTGCCTATTAAAGGCATAGCTGGAATGTAGCTAATGAAGGCATTCAATCATTCCTCCTTCTCGCATGTTTAAAAGTACATGAGACCCTCATTTCTGGCACCTCAGCTTTGGCTTTCCTCTCCCTACTTCACATTCCATATTTGAACATGAGTTGCCAATATGCACTAGCAGCCCACAGTGCCAACCGTATCCTGGGATGCATCAAAGGAAGTGTGACTGGTAGGTCAAGGGAGGTGATTCTGCCCCTCTACTCTGCTCTTGTGAGACCCCACCTGGAGTACTGCGTCCAGTTCTGGGGCCCCAATACAAGAAAGACGTGCAGTTGTTGGAGTGGGTCCAGAGGAGACAGGAAGATCATCAAAGGGCTGGAGCACCTCCCCTATGAGGACAGGCTGAGAGAGCTGGGGCTCTTCTGTCTGGAGAAGGAAGGCTGCAGGGATACCTTATAGCGGCCTTCCAATACCTGAAGGCGCCTACAGGAAAGCCTGGGAAGGACTTTTCATAAGGGCAGGTAGTGAGAACATGAAGGGAAATGATTTTAAACCGGAAGAAGGTAGGTTTAAACTAGATACTAGGAAGAAATCCTTTACTATGAGGGTGGTAATTCCCTGGCACAGGTTGCCCAGAGGCTGTGGATGCTCCTCCCTGGAGGCATTCAAGGCCAGGCTGGATGGGGCTGTGAGCAGCCTGGTCTAGAGGGAGGTGTCCCTTGCGTATAGCAGGGGTTGGAGTGAGGTGGAGTTAAAGGTCCCTTCCAACACAACCCATTCTATGATTCTTTTTCAAACATTTCCTCCGCCTACAACATTTTTGGCACCAGAGTGAACTCTTTCGTAAATAAGAACCCTTCTGTTGAGACCCAGCCTGCAACTCTTTGTGGGAACAGACTGGCTAATGCATAGTGTTGCCCTCGTCTTTCCATAGCTGCCTTTGGGAATATCCATTCTCATAATGCCAAATCTTGCTCAGACAACTGTGCTCTCACTCCAACTCTGCAAATCTCTCTCTGCACACCAGTACAGTTCCTCCATAACTCACTGCACTGCCTTGAACAGCTTAATAATTTATGATCTGATTGATTTAGGTATTTAACAAATTAGCAGGATATTTACGTCATTAGTTCTCTCTTTCTGGCTTATAATTTAGGATTTTGTACTGCTGGGGAACACTTGCTCACAGGTGGCTACAATGTGGGGCAAATAAGAAAGATAGGAGAGATAAAAACACGTCAGAGAGGGAGAGGCCTGGAATAGTTTCAGCTGCTGTCTTTTAACATTGCCAGCTCTTAGCTTACAGGGGCTATGACCTAGCAGCTCCAGCAGTGAACTCTGCCTGCTTTAACAATTCACTTGATAATATAGTGCACTTTAAAACCCAGTCTCAGCAGTGCCTTCAGGAACTTCTCTGCAAGGTTTCAAAGCTCCTGGGTGCTGACAACATCCCCAGAGCAGGACAAAACACTCCCAGCTAGGTTGGACCCTTCACCAATCAGTTCAGCTCTCTGCTCACAGCAGCACAATGCTGTGGGTTAAGTGTTACTTTGCAGCGTCCTACCAATACATTTATGGTTAGTTAGCCAGACCACTTGATAAAAAGGGGCATGATTTGTCTCCAGTTTGCTGACTGCAGCCACCACCCTCAGGAGAAACACGTGGCCTGTTGGCATGAAGCTGTAAAAAACATCTGCCACCTTCCCATTCAGAACCTGAAACTTATATGGATTCCGACTGGGTAGAAAATGAAACCCAGAGAGGAAAAAAAAAAAGATGAGTTGCAACAGCCAGAGTGACAGGGCAAAGCTCACCAGTGGAAAAAGATGATTTACAATAATGGTGTGAGCCAGTGACCTAAGCAGCTTGCTACTCTCATTCCACTTAATCACATCTCCAGCATCTGGGATCTGGGATGCGTCAAGCACTGGCGGTGGTTGGTGAAATCTGCTAGCTGAGACTCCTTGCTGCCGGAGAGAGGTATTGAGGCTGGTCTTGGAGCCAGGAGCCCTCCAGCAGGTTAGCCTTGCCCTCTGGGGCCACTCTGGTATACATCTGGCAAATGACAGGGAGTCAGAAGGGCACTCCAAAGGAGTCATTCAGTTTTATAGCAGAGGCTTTAAACAGAAGATATGGATTAATCACAACCGAGCTTGTAGGAATAGCAATCACCATTTCAATAAAACTACAATGTTTTACCCAAGGCTTTGTGTATCTTTGCCAATAAGGATATGTTTGAATTCCAGTTGTAGCAAAGAGCCCTTAAACTCAGTTCCATAAACACAACCCACCTTGCCAACAACCATGCACAAAGATGTACGGTGACTCACAGCACAGCCGCAAGTCTTTGAGCTCTTTGCTCATTGAGTGTAAGGCAGTTAGTGGGGATGTACAGGAACACGAAAGCTTTATTCCTCCTTATAATGAGTGAGCTAGGACAGCACCCTGCAGCCTAGCTGCATTTCTCACCAATGCATGTAGAAAGCCTGGCTCATGTAGGCCTTTCCCTTAACCGCAGAGGAGGAAGCCTGTTCATGCCATTTTCCTGAACAACAGCTTGCTTTCTTCACTGCCTGTGCTGGGAACAGGGCCAACACTCAGTTGTTTTTTTGCCCCTGCAAGATCCACAGAGAAGGAAGAGCATCCATGCAAGGAGCTGCCCTTTTCCTCAGGCCTCCCCAGCTGTATCTATAAGGAGGAGAAGCTCATAACAACCAGCTTTGCAAAGCAGGTGACAACAAACTAGAGCCTTGTACTTTGCAACACTTAGTCCTGGGAACCTCCCTCCTGAGATTCTGAGACCTTCCCCAAAGCCAGTGTGTAAGACAGGCCGAATTAAAGTCTTTACCTTCCCCATGCATGACTTCAGGGCTGTTCTCCCATTAATAGTGCATCCAAATCCTAATAAAAGGGCTATAATTTCTCTGCTACAGATGTGAGCACTTGGGAACTACTGATATCTAGCATTCCTTTAGTTTCCTTTTTATGCTGGGGCTAATGTATAGAGCTCACTTAGCTGCAGAAGGCTCACTCAGGGTTACTGAATTGACACCACAGTGGCAACTCATTTTCTGACATGCTTTCCCTCAAAAAACTTCTACTGAAACCAAAATGTTACTGCAAAAAGTGGGATGCTTGTCTTTAAGCCACTGCAGTCACAAATCCACAGGCTGAAAATATGCTTTCCTTCAAATTCATTTTTTGAATGCCATGAGCCAAGAGAAAAATGGTTCTGTTGCTGTTCAGAAAATGTTCCTCATTCATTTGGAGATCCTGAAAAGACCATTTGAAGATCTAGAGCAGCTCGGCACATTTCAAGGAGCAGCACAGCCTAAGGATGGAATTGCCTTGAATGAGGCTCTACTATCTGATGGGCCACTCTTCCAAGTTAATCACAACACAACACACCCAAGTCCCACCCAGTATATTCCTATTTGCACACGAGACATAAAGACAGCTGTAGAATTACATACACCACCCCACACTCCAGGAGAAACGCCAGCTTCCATCTCACTTCATACAACCAGAATGCCAAAAACAAAACTCACATGTTTAGGAAAGCTACCCAGTTGGTTACAACACGTCGTATGGTGCATTAATGTAAGTTATTTGCACACCTATTTCTCTCTGCTGACCAACTTCTTCACTCTAATGCATTATGTTTTCTGGATAAATTATGAAGGGAAAACAGACAACGGGAGCTATTTATAGTTGAAAAGCTCCACAAATCCCAACTATTGACACACTGCAGAGTATCTTCTAGAGGAATCAGATGTTGGGACTTTGTATGTTGCTTCTGCTTTCTGATCCAGCAGATCAAACATCTGGCTGCCTGAAATAGGCACTGAGCAACACACAAGTCTAGAAAACATCTGACTGTAGAGCCAGATGATGAAAAAGGCATTTTTGCAGGCAGGTATTTCCCCTAATTCAGGTCACACAGTAGGGGGAGAAGAGAAATATGCTTGAAGTCTGACATTTTCCAGCAAACTTTACAAACTACAGCAGCAATTACAAGTCGATACCACTCACAGCAGCCTCAAGATTACTCTAAACTGCAGTGGGGATGTGGAAGAGGAATACAGAGAACTTTAAATCCCCTCCAGCAACACAAGACATTCTTTGCACCAACACACTTGCTGTTGTTCTGAAACTGAAAGCTGCTTACAGAACTTCTCTACTGAGCAAAAATAGAACACGAAGATGAGACAAAAGCCAAGGAATAGAAGAACAACTCTTTCTGTTCTAAAAGCTCCCACTCAGAGAGGGGGAATCTACATCTGGTTAACAGAACAAACAGAAGATGATGTCAGATCTGAATCTGAATTTTTCAGTAACTTTCACTAATATGCATCTTCTGTACCCCTCAGCCTCCCAGAAGTTTATTCACTATGTAGGACACTAAGAACAGGGAGCACTTCCAAGAAGAAACCAAGGAAGAGTATCATTTCTAGCTGGGAATGTGCCTCATTTTTTCATAAGCTAACCCATCATGATACAGCAAGCTGGCAGCAGTGCTCTCGCTGCATGTTCCACATGCTGGAGTATACTGGAAGAATGCAGAGTTTCACATAGGTTCAGTTTCAGAGAATCAACTCTTCTCCCAATCCCATTACACTGCCAGGAACTGTAAAGCATCGTGAGAAGGTGCCATACCTGTATGTGACATGCACTGCAGTTCCAGGCTCATCTCTCTCCCATATCAAAGCCACTCTGTCTGGGGACTTTTCAACATGTTGGTCCAAGCAATTTACTGTAAGAAAACAGAGGTTTAAACAAAGCACGAAGACAAGAAACTCTTCTGATGGTTTTCCTCCTCAGAGCAGCAATTCACTGCATTAATCACACAGACTTGTCTTCCCCAGCTTCCATTTGTAGCACTGCATTGTTTGAATTTTCTATAAACCACTACTAGGCAAAACATTTATAATTGAAAGAGCTCATTTTCCATTAACTGAAAGTATCTAAAACTTTAGGAATTGGTGTAAACTCATCAAGTACAGACATCTACACATTTAAGAATCACAGAATCCTTTGAGTTGGAAGGGACCTGTAAGGGTCATCTAGTCCAACTCCCCTGCAGCAAACAGGAACATGTACAGCTAGATCAGGTTGCCCAGGGCCTGAGCCAGCCTTGCCTTGAAAGTCTCCAAGGAGGAGGCAACCACAACCCCTCTGGGAAACCTCAAGCTGTGTGCTACACCACCTACCATATGAAGTGCAGAGTGGCTTCTGAACCACATGAGAGATGTTTGAGTGAGCTGACAGCACCCACCATAAGGAAACTTCTACAGAACCCACTTAGGAAACTCGCCTGTGTGTTCAGCAGCAACATGCCCACTGTTTACAGGTTAGACTTGTAAAGTACTAATTCCAAGCTGAAGTGACAATTATGTACTTCATTATATTCTCATGAAGGCAGTTAGGATATTTCAAGAGACAATTATTAAAAACCACTCAGGCACACTGCTGTGCAACTCAGAGAAAGCCCTGAAGAAAATGCTGAGCATTTCAGAGCATATTTCCTGGAGATATTAATACTGGTGGGAAAGGATTTTATTTTTCCAGATGAACTAAGTGCAATGAAAGCTGCCTATTGTTCTGTCAACATTTGTGAAGTATAGGCAAACTGCAGCCCAGGAGTCTGCTTCTGCTGTTCTGAGATCGCAGCTGATCTACAGCACAGAAAATGAGCCCCCAAAGGGGAATGGAAGATACACTGCTGTCAGAATTCGGCACATTTCACTACAAGAACAACTGCTTATCTCAAAAATATGAAAAAGAAGAAGCCCTTCAGTTGTTTGAAGTCTTTTACTTTTTAATACAAATTCCTACAGCAATACCAAAGAAACAAAGGAGATAAAATCATTCTTTATGTCAACTTACAGCACAGAAGGACAAAAGCTCTTGTCAGGAATGCCTTCAGCACTTACACACTGCTTTCCTCTGTCATGCATTCATAGGAAATCAGCTCTGCTGCAGGTTGTTCTGAGACCTTTAGCAATTCCCACCTCCATTCCCATGGCAGCAATACCCATAGGTGCTGCACCACATTACAGTCAAATGCATTCACAGGGATTCATTTCCCAAGCAGCATTTCCTACCTGTGAGCAGCACTATGAGCTTTCAGTGAGTGTTTGTGTTATAGCAAGCCCCAGCTGAGCCCAGTGAGAGCTGTAGCTCTTTGCTCAGTGAGAGCTGGCAGGTGAAACAGGGCCAAATGCTATTATTTCCTTCCTGACCATACAAGTGTTTTCACTTGTTTTGCAAAATAGAATTTTGTGACCTGCCTCCTGCTGCGACCCTCTCATGGTTTCTCCAGACATTTCCTCACCCCCTTGACAATGCGTAGAAAAGCACACAGAAACATCTCATTTTGATGAGATGTGTTCCTGAGAACACAAAGGCTTGGGAGTCCAAAAGCTTGTTGGGGTCTTTTCCTGGCCAGAAGGCCAGGAGTTCAGCCCAGAAGGGCTGAATCTCACACTTCTCCAGTTCTCACTGCAAGGTCCCCCAAGTACAAAGCAGAAGAACACGTATCCACCTGCAGTCCAGCTATGCCTGGAGACAGGAACGCAGGATGCTCTGAATCTGGAACCTGCAGTGCTGCCATGTTTTCTCAAGTCAAATCAAGAGATCATGAGGTCCCCATTTGAAGTATTGCATTCAGGCCTGGGGCCCCCAGCACAAGAAAGATGGGAAACTTCTGGAACAGGTCCAGAGGAGCAACACAAAGATGCTCAGAGGGCTGGAACATCTGGAATTGTGAAGGCAGGCTGAGGAAGCTGGGCTTGGTCAGCCTGGAGAAGCCTCCAGGGAGACAACACTGAGGCCTTTTAGTACTTGAGGGGAGTTTATAAACAGGAGGGGAACAGAGTTTTTACATGGGTGGTGATAGAGCAAGGGAAGGTGGCTTTAAAGTAAAAAGAGGAGAGATTTAATTAGGAGGAAATTTTTCATTCAGAGGGTGGTGAGGCCCTGGCACAGCTGCCCAGAGAAGCTATGGTAGGGGCAGCCCTGCTCATAACAAGGGTTGGAACTGGCTGGGCTTTAAGGTCTTTTCCAGCCCAACCAGTTCTATGTCTTTATGATCACCAGACTCGACTCACATGGGATCCAGAATAAGGTGCTGATCCCATCCTATAGAGGAAACAGCAAATCCCCAAAAGTCACAGTGTTCAGCCAAAACTTCCTTGCAACAGGAATCACTGAAAAGATGTCTGGCTAAAAACTCACTTCCCTTCCACTGCTGGGTGCTGGGAGCAGGGCTGTGCCAAGCCCTGCACTCCTTTGGGATCCACGGCCAGGAACCCTCCCTGTGGGACTCTTCCTGCCCAGTGTTTGCTCTTTTGTTCTAAAGCAAGGTGGCTGGCTGACAATGTTAAATTTTCTGCACCACTGAACAACAATCTAATCACTCAAGCACTCTCCTAGGGAACGAAGTTAAAAAACATATACAAATACACACCCCTATGGAAAGACCCCACCATCAAGCGAGGTGTGAGGAAAAAAAAGAGACCAGCCTCCAGCTCCCTTCACATTCAGCTTTCCGTTGAAACCGTTGAAAAGCAGCAGGACTTGAAAAATTTTAACTGTTTGTAGGTGCTGGCTTTGGTCCCTTGTATTTCAGGAGCATTCTTTGAGAGTGACAGCAGCATGACCCGTACCGTCCCCTTCTGTTCCCGTCACACCACAGCATGAGCTGCAGCGGGGTCTCTCAGGAGAGGCTCCTGACGAAACGTGTCGTCGGCGGTGCACTGCAGCCCCTCAGCCCAGCGCTGGGTGACCGCGTCCGCCCGGGAACGCAACTTTCTCATTTCCGACTGTTTCACAGCCGTCAAGACTCACTCCACGCAGCACTGAACACCACCCGCCATCAACGCTGTCGCTGACCCAGACGCCTCGTTTTGTCCCCAGAAAAAGGCTCGAGCGCCCAACGTCACGGAGGGCGCTCGGACAGACCGGGCGGAAAACGGCCGCAGCCGCCAGGGCGGCCCCAGCTGCTCCGGGGTATGGATGCACGGCCGCGGGATCCTTACCCGAAACGTTGAGGCGGCCGCCCAGGAACCAGCGGGCTCCGGCGCCGGCCGGGGCGGCCTCGCGGGCCGTGTGGAAGGGACTGTCCCAACGCAGAGCCCCCCGCGCCGCATCCGCCCAAAAAGCGGCGGGGTCGCGGGCCGCCCGCTCCTGCCAAGCGCCGTAGCCGCCGGGGGGGAGATGAGCGCAGCCGCCGCAGCTCCGGACAGCGAGCGAGGAGCGGCTCAAGCAGCGCAGCACCCGCGCACGGACCGCCGCCAGCGCCATGGGGCACGGCCCTGCTCCGCCGTCGAGGCCCCGCCGCTCCCCGCCCCGCTGTTCCCGGCCCCGCCGGGCGCGGCGCCGCCCCGGCCCCGGAACACCCCCGCCTCCGGGAGGGGACGGGTCGGGAGCAGCGCGCGGTAGCGGGCGGTTATACGGGCGTACCGCGGGGCGGCGGAGCGGGACGGCGCTTCAAGGCTCGCTGCGGCAGCCCCTACGCCCAGAATTGGGCGCGCGGGCCCGCGTCCAGGCGGCTGTGAACGTCCTCCAGGAGGAGTCCCCACGGCCCCTCCAGCCCTGCGCTGGGCTCTTTCTGCGTGTCCTTGTACTGGCGGCCCAGAGCTGGGCCCAGTGCTCCAGGTGCGGGCTGCCAGCGCTGAGCAGAGGGGAGAATCACCTCCCTCCACATCGCGGCTCCTCCGCACCGTGCAGCTCCCAGCTTTAGCATCAAAGTGCTTCTTCGTTCTATTCAGTCCCAGCGGCAGGTTGGATGGTGAACCACGTTAAATTGTGACCCTTTCCAATGAGATCTTGTAGGGGCTAACACAGGCCTGCTCTGTGCATGGCACAAACTTTGCAGGATATTAATTCTGTTATGTAGTCTGTTCCAGCCTCTCAGCACAACACTGCAAAGCTCGTGTTAAGAATATTTGTCTTCTTCCTGAAGACGAGCCGAACTACTGAGCTTTTCTTAAATGACAGCTCAACTAATTCCCAGGATTTGGGTGGGCAAAGCACATTTCATTCTTAGGAGCAGCAACTTCAATCTATGCTGAGCTTGAAATTGTTCTGGTAGTGGCACGGACAGCCAGTGTTTTCCCAAGACTTTTCCTATCCAAAGAATATCATCAGATGTTATCTAGTTAAACAATATAAATTTTATTAGGATTTGGATTCCTGTCACTTCTGACATTTCCACTTGCGTTTTATAAGCAATGTGTAAGAATTGACACACTTAACTTCCTTGTAAAGTCAGTATTACCGCACTGTTTAAACAGTTGTGTATTTCCTCAGCTTTCGTATGCCAGTGCTTCTTTTTGGGTAACAGAACTCATAGCGTGTGTGCCACCTTGTGCCGGATGGTAGTATGGGCAGTTATTCTCCCTTCAGTTGGCTTAAGGATTGCACCAAAGATTTCCATAAAAAACTACTTATCTGCAAAAGTAAGAAAATAAATAGATAAATAAATCAGGTTTTCAGACTAATGCTTTCCATAGAACAAGCAAACAGAGGTGGAGGGGAGTGCTTTCCAGAAGAAAGAGCATGAAATTAAATTATTTGGTCTGAAAACATAGCTGTTTAATTTACAGACCTTGAAATCATCTGGGAATGCTGCCATTCTCTGCTTATTTTCCGTATAAGACTGATTTTCTCCTTCCAACACAAATTTTTATTTTTCTCATGCTTCAGTAGACCACCTTTCATCCACAAATTCAGGCTCTTTTTCCTCCAAGAAAGCTGTGATTGCTATCAACATAATTCATACATAATCCAGCCAGCAGAACACCTAATTTCCCAATCCAGCTGGGCTGCTTGGTGGGACAAGAACAGTCCCAGTCTCCTTTCTTCCCTCCAAGCAAGTTGTGTAGAAGGGAGGTGAGTCTCAGATGTTGCAGTGCTTCTTTCATAGCATCATAGCATTATCCAGGTTGGAAAAGACCTTCAGGACCACCAAGTCCAACAATCAGTCTAGCTTACTGAGCCCCATCACCAAACAATGTCCTGAAGTGCCACATTCTCGAGTCTCTTAAACACCTCTATGGATGAGGACTGCACCACTGCCATGGGCAGGCCATCCCAATGTCTCTCTATAAAGAAATTCTTCTTGTCTAATTAAAACCTCTCCTGGCCCAGTGTAAGACCATTTTCTTGCATCTCATCACTGGGAGAAGAGACCAACAGCTCCCGCTGCATTCTCCACAAGCACTGATGCAGGTGTTACTAGCTCTGGGGATTTCCGTTTACTGTGATCTACAAATGCCACTTCTCAGCAGCTCCCGAAGGCTCAAGGCACCACTGCATAGGAATTTGTTTCCTGGAGCAGACAAGTGCCCTGAGATGACCTCCTGCCCCAGCCTCAAGGTTTAAGCAGCCATTGGCAGATATGGAGGGTTTGTAGTGATAACAAGGAACACAGCCAGTAGTGCTATGCAGTAATGGTTGGATGAAAGGAATGAACACAGCCCTGCCAAAAATGTTCTGGGGGTACTGGTGGATGGTAACTGGATATGAGTCAGTAATTGACTTTGCAGCCTAGAAAGCCAGCTGTATCCTGAGCCATATCAAAAGTGTGGCCAGCAGGATGAGGGAGGTGATCCAGCCCCTCTGCTCTGTGCTGAGACCTCACCTGGAGTACTGCATCCAGATGTGGAGTCCTCAGTGTTGTGGATCTGTTGGAGCACATCCACAGGAGGGCCACAAATATGAGCCAAGGTGTGGAAGACCTCCCTTTTGAGGACGGGCCAAGAGAGCTGGGACTGCTCAGAGAGAAGAGAGGGCTCTGGGGAGACCTGAGAATGGCCTCCTCAGTATGTGAAGTGGGGCAGTAAGAATGAAGGTGACAGACTTTTTAGTTGGGCCTGCTGCAATCGGACAAGAGGAAATGGGCCGCGGTGCGGGGACGCAGCTGGGGACACGAGGGCTCGGCTCGGGGCCGCTCCGCCGCAGGGCCCTCAGGATGCCGGGTGCCGGCTCGCCGCTGCCGGCTGCGCGGGGCGGGCGCGGGGCGGGACAGGCGGGGCGGGGGCGGCCTCGGGTGATGTCAGGGCTGATGCTGGAGGTGCGGCGCGCGGTGCATTGTGGGCGAATCCCGCCGCCCGCCGCTGCTCCGAGGGGGAGGATGCGCCCTGGGCCGGCCCGCCCCCGCCCCGCAGCCGCAGCGCCCGGCGCCGGCGGCACCGAGCCCGGAGAGCCGCACTGAGGACGCGAGGCATGCGCCGCCCGCGCCGGCCGCAGAAAGAGGCGGCGGGGCCAGGTGAGCCAGGCCGAGCCGCGCCGGGCCGGGCCTCGGCGGCCTTCGCGGTCGTCGTGCGGGGAGGGGGCGCCCCTCCGGCGCTGAGGGAGATGCGGGGTACGGGTCGCACCGGGCCGGGCCGCTCCAGGGCTGCGCGCGGGGCGTTGTGGGAACTGCAGTCCGTCCCTCCTCCCGGTGCCGCCTGCCGACGGGGAGCGGGCCCGAGCGGAAAACTCGGCTTCCCGGCGTGCCACGGGCGGCGGGCGGGCCCGACGAGGAATGACGGCGGAACGCAGCCAATGAGAAGGCGGGATTGGGTGGGGCGAACCATCTGCCGAGAGGGGCGGGGGAGGGGGGAGCAGCGTGCCGACAGCTGCAGTGCAGAGGCGGACGCGGCCATCTCCTCAGAGGGGGAGGCGGGGCGGCCCCAGGTGAGGGGCCGGGCAGGGGCGCGGGGTGGCGGCCGAAGAGGCTCCGCGGGTCAGGAGCCCGGCGGCTGAGCCCGTCTCAGGCGAGCAGGTGCCTGCGCTTAGGGCGAGGCGCGGGAGGGGCCGCCGGGGAGGGGCAGGGCGGGAGGCGGCTGCGGCGCCCCGTGGGGCCGCGGGCGTCGTGCGGGGGGCGGAGGGGGGCCGGGCCCTGAGCCGGCTGCGGGAAGCGCGGCTCGAAACCGCGGTGTTGCGCCTCGGCGATGGGCGGCCCGCGCGGTGCCCGCCTCGCGGCTGGCGGAACGCCGCGCGAGCAGCCCCGTTCCGCCGGGGTCTTTCGTCGGGGAGAGTTCTCATTGTGTTCTAACTCTTTGGTGCTCGGGTGGGCGCTGAGAGTTTCTCAGAGAGGTTTCAGCGTTTGGGTCTTCTGCAGCCTTTCGGAACGGAGTCTCTATGCCCTTACTGCTTGCGGTTCGCAAGTTGGTGCCGGTGCCCGCTGCCAGGCGACCCTTCCCCATCCCCTGCGCGCTGAGAGCCGCCCTGCCGCCCGGCTCTGACCCTCCGGCAGCTGCGTGACAGCACCGTGACCTTGAGCTCATCGTGCGCCCGGCAGCGCTCTGTGAGCCGTGGCCCCCGGCGGGACTGCTGCCACTCTTGGGGTGTTGGTGGAGGCAGCCCAGTGCTGCTCCCCAGCAGCCACAACCTACCCTGTGCCACGACTTCTGCGTTCCCGAATTTCTTTTGGCTTGCGAAAAGGAGGTCGTTTGACTGGTGGAAGGAAGGATTTCCTAGTTTTAGTGCAGCTTGTCAATTCCTTTATGCTTCTGGTACTGTCGATGGAAATGCTACCTTTAGCCACAAACTTCTCCATGAATCACAACGGAGGTTTCTCAGCATGCTGTTTATTTTCACTGTGTGAGTTTAACCCCCTGTTGGGTGTGCCTCAGCACTCCTGCTGATGGGTGCTGTGCCCTCATAGGTGCCATGACTGAAGTACTGAGTACCGAGTCAGTAGTATGACCACATTTCACTCCACTAACTTCTCTTGAGACTGTTTCTCAGTACAACGAGTGCAATTCAAGAATTTGTAGAATTATAAAATGAGTTAGGTTGGGAGGGACCTTAAAGATTCAGTTCCAACCCCTGTTATGCATCGATTTTTTTCTTTGTGTGCATGTGATCATCCAACTCGTAACAAACATTTTCATGCTGTTGCACTTGAGATCAGAAACTTTCGAGATTCTCTTTGGGTATATGGTGTCCACTTCTGCAACTTCTATGTTCTTTGTGCTTTTGCAGGCTTTATTATAATATTCCTTCAAAAGAGGGCTTCATCTCTGGTGCAGGAAAACACTGGAGTTACCATTTCCTTGTAGATCGGTTTTTGTAAGAATTGATCTCAAGGATGCCTACTTGTTCTTTTTAACTTTTTTATCTTCTTGAAATAATTAGCAAGAGTCAAGTCAGATCCCCATCAATGTTCTTGGCCTTACAAAAAGGAGTGCCTCTGGTGTAGAAAATCTAAAGAAGGGCAATGAAGCTGATGAGAGATCTGGAGCACAAGTCTTGTGAAGAGCATCTGAGGGAACTGAGATTGTTCAGTCCGGAGAAGAGGAGGTTCAGGGGAGACCTCACTGCTCTCTACAACTGCCTGAAGGGAGGTTGTGGTGAGGTGGCGGTCGACCTCTTCTCTCGTGTACCGGTGATAGGATGAGAGGGAATGGCCTCAAGTTACACCATGAGGTGTTCAGGTTGGATATTAGGAAAAAAAAAAATTCTCAGCAAGAGTGGTGAGTTATTGAAACAGGCTGCCTAGGAATGTGGTGGAGTCACCGACTGTGGAGCTGTTCAAGAACAGTGGAGATGTGGCACTGAGGGACATGGTTCGTGGGCATGGGAGGGGATGGGTTGACAGTTGGACTGGATGATCTTAGAAATCTTTTCCAACCTTAATGATTCTGTTATTCTATTTTGACACCTGTTAGGTTCATGCTAGTGAAGTGGTCCCCACCCTTGCCCATGTATTGATTTCCTTCCCCTTCCTCTTCATCTCAGCCCCAGTGTTAGGTACTGAAGTGATGAAGCCAAGAGTAGTTCTACACCATAACAAGCAAAATGAAGCCCTCCTCTAGTAGAAGCTGTTGGTACTTGGTGTTTTCCTGAGCAAGAGTGAATCAGACATCCTGAGAGAGCTGATTCCCTCTTTCCTCTCTAAGTGCTGTGATACCTTTTGTGTTGTTCCTTGCCTTCTGTTACAGTGAGATTGCCACATCACTTTATAGCTTGTTAGTCCAGTGCTCTCTGGTGAATCTTGCTCTGTGTTCACTTCTTTGGTTGTGACCTGTCAGTTTTCTGTGTTGATCTTATTTAGTGTGCAGTTTCCAGATGAACTCTGCAGGAATTTCTCCCATTTCTGGGAAAGTCTGGGATTAAATTCATTTGCCAGAGCTCCCTGATGACCTTCCAATAACATTGGCTCACTTTAAAAACAATGAACAGAGCAGAAGACAGAAAATAGGATCTCGTAGAGCATTATGTCTCTACAGAGTCCCTAGGGGCTTTGTAAACTGTTCCTTCATTTTCAGCTGCTTGTTGGCTTTGTTGAGATCTCCTTCTTTGGATGTTGAAAGGCATACCTGAGATTTGCTGGTGTGATTGTGGAAGCACATGTCAATGTTTAAGTTCTGCTTTTTTGCTGAAGAAGACAAAGAATGGGTACAAGTAGTGCTTTCCTCCCTTCCTTCTTCACAGAACAAACAAACAAAAAAAAACACCCAGGAAGTTTGTATTCCCCATGGACTTGCAGAAATCCCCTGAAATATCATTTTGAGACACTGTTCAGTTGGAATAAATGTTAAGATTTGTGCAATTGTGTCTGGATTCTGTTGCGGCTACCTCAGCTGTATGAGCATCACCAGATACAAACTGAGAGTTGGCAATACCCCCTCCACATCCTGCAGGACCAGCTCTGAGTCTTTTCCATAATTGGATGGGAGGGGGAGAGAAGGTGACTTACCAGAGTAGCTTTTTCATCAGACCCACAATTCCTTTTGTTTTTTTTCTTGGTTCCACACTGTTTTCCATGAAGTCTTCGTTACTCAGGAACTGTTTACATGGGAAAGGGTCCTTTTTGTAGTTTTGAGTACGAAGATGTTGACAGTGTGATGGACTGAAGATGTAATCAGATGAGATGTGCTTGGAAAGCCTTTCCTTTTGGTGTCAAGACATGTCATCTTTAATTTGGTGAACAATATGAAAGAAGCAGACTGCAGATCATGGGCTGACTCCAGCCATATAGGCACTATGGAAAGCAGAATTAGTGTTTGTGGGCACAAGTCTCCTTTTCTCCAAAGAAAGGGGGCAGCTTAGCCTGCAGAGAGAACTTCAGTGTCAGCTGTGACAGATGGAAGTGAATTCTTTGCTATTCATGTGGTAGGATATGCTACAAGGCTCACCATCAGCCCAGAGGCTACGTGCAGAAAGCTTTGATTTCATGCGGCTCATATAAAGAGACTGCAAACCAGATAAGGGGAAGCTGATCTCTAGTGAAAAGGTTTTGATTGTAGGATTATAACCCTGACTGGTCAGGCCAATATCCCGTATTGCTCCAATCCTTTCTCTAACAGCGATCGAGAGATTATACTTAAGGAAAGGCCAAGAGGACGCATGATCCAGCCTTCTTTCTAAGCACCTTGTATGCTGGGGTGTTGGAAAATGCCATCCTTTTAGCAGCTTCCTAGAAGTTCTTCCTTGAATCCGTACATTCTAATTCTCCAGCTTATTTCTGAGACCTATTTCATCTGTTTCACCTCAAAAGATCCCACTTAAATATCACATACCACTGAAAGTGCTCTTTGTTTCTGTCTTCCTCCCAGTATATTTTTTTTCCTTTACTGTTACGCAATTAGATAGTTCCTCCAGGTTGCTGTTCTTGGCCTTCATACACTGAAAGAGACCATACTTGCCAGCTTCTTACTGGTATGGTGCAGGATGGCTGCAGTGGATTAGAGCACCCACTGTCACCCTGTGATTGTGCCCAGGGCTGAACACCCAGGGAGGAGCTGGAGGCTGCAGCCAGTGGGCACTGCCATTTTCCTGGAGGGCTCCCTCAGCTCTCAGTCATTTGCTGCTCTTGATGACTGGCAGGTTACCATGCTGTCCTTTCACCTTACTAGCTCAGCTGTGTGCACAGAGCTGTCTCTGCAGCCTTTCTTTTCCTCTCCTGTGAATAGGTGTTCCTGATGGCATGCTATCAGTGAGCAGATTTCACCAGTAAGATCGTTGCTAGTCAGCATAAAGGCCTATTGCCACAAGATGTTTTTCTCTCCTTGGCCAATGGGATGTAGTCTGAAAGTACGAATGTATCTGAAATTCCTTCTTTCCTCTCCACAAACCTAAACTTCAGACATTCTTTTTATGTATTCTTGCTCAAACATGGGGACTGGATTGCTCTCCCTTCATATGGGCATTAGCACAGTGCTCTTTTTGATTGGATGCTCCATTAAATTGTGTGCTTTTCTTTCATTTTAAGAGAAGGTTGCTCATGGTGACTTGACATACCTCAGTCAGAGGACAGAAGCTGCCTTGGTGGTGGTGTTATGAGGTTCAGAGCTTTGTGCTTTAATAACATCTCAAATTATTTAAACAGAATCTAGATGGTTTGGACTCTAAAATGTGTTAACTTAGGGATGGTGCAACAAAGTTATTAAAACTAAGTGGTTTCTTTAAATCTTGCTTTCCTTGGGAATAAAATGTTGGCTTCAGGCAGATTTGCTTGGCTACTTCTAAGCAGAGGTGGCTGAGCCCTATGCTTTCATGGAAGGCTGAGAACTTTTGCTTTCAAGGCAGTCATGGAGAGCAGCTTGGCTGAAACTGAAATGGATCTGAGATACCTTTCCTTCATTGTGCTGGGGTTTGCATTTAGCTGAGCCTACATTCAACCACTTCAAGTAGCTCTAAGCTACTTACCTTCTTTCATTAGGGTGAATAATAGTTTTTTCTGCTGA